AAAAAAAGAGGTTAGAGTGGGAGAGAGCCAAAGCATAAGAGACTGTTGAGAACTGAGAGCAAACTGAGGGTTGATGGGGGGTGGGAGGGAGGAGAGGGTGGGTGATGGGTATTGAGGAGGGCACCTTTTGGGATGAGCACTGGGTGTTGTATGGAAACCAATTTGACAATAAATTTCATAAAAAAAAAAAAATCTAGAATCTCCTTTAAAAAAAAAAAAAAAAAAGACAGGTCTGGTTGTGATGAACTCCCTCAGCTTTTGTTTGCCTAGGAAAGTCTTTTTCTCTCCATTTCTGAAGGACAGCTTTGTCGGGTAAGGTATTCTTTGTTGACAGTTCTGTTTTGTTTTTTTCCTTTCAGCACTCTGAGTGTATCCTCTGTCCTGACCTTCATGGGTTTGCTGGGAAATCCTCTCACAGTCTCACGGGGGCTCCCTTGTATGTGGTGAGTAGCTTTTCTCTTGCCGCTTTCAAAATTCTGTCTTTGACTTTGAACAATTTGATTTTAATATGTCTAATAGAAGATTTTCTGATATTCAGCCTACTCTTGGTTCTTTGGATGTTATGGATCTGGGTGTTCATTTCTTCCCCTGGAGACTTGGGAAGTCATCTGTCCTGAAGTCAGTGTTTGTGGGGGTGTGGAGGCTGGGCTCTCCTGGTCTGCCATCTTGCTGCCAACACTCCAGGCATCTCCCTCTTTGCTGCTTTAGACATGGTTTCCTTTGGTTCTTTGAACATACTTAAAAGAGCTGATTTAAAGATTTTGTCTAGTAAGTCCAACACCTGTGCTTCCTCAGGGACTGTTTGCATGGGCATTTTTGTGAGTGTGTGTGTATGGGCCATACTTTCTTTTTTATTTGCGTATCTTATGTCTTATTGTTGGAAATGGGCATTCTAAATAACATGACGTGACAACTCTGGAAATCAGATTGTCCCTTCTTCCCAGGGTTTGTTGTTTTGCTGTTCCTGTTACTGCTGTTGTTATTTATTTGCTTAGTGACTCTACCGTGCTAACTCTATAAAGTCTCTGTATTTTTTGTTGTTTGTGGCCACTGAAGTCTCTTCTCAGCCTCCTGGTCAGCCATTGATTGGATAGAGATTTCCTTAAGTCCCTGGAACCAGAAAGTCTCCCAGGCTTTGTCAAGGGGTTCTGTATGTGGGGCGCACTTTCACCACGCAGCCTAGCATCTACAGCACTGGCTTGGTCTCTACTTCCTGCTCACAGGGGGCCCCAAGATGAGCCAGCGGTGATAGCTTACTGCCTTCTCCTACCTTTCCTGATCATGCACGCAGCCCTAGGCATGTGCACAGCTTTCTGTGTGTGCATGGCCTCCTTTTCCACACCTTCTATGGAATTCTCATTCTCCAGCTTTTCCTTTTAAGTTTTTTGGTTATTAGCTCGTTGTTTGCCCAAACTTATTTCTCCTTCAGGCAGCTAAAATGTTATATAATTGCTACTTACTGTTTTTGACAAAAGCTCCTGGGGGAGGAAATAAAAGACTATTTACATTGGCTGAGCTCTGAGCCAGGTCAACTAAGGATGAGCCTTACAAGTGGGGTTTTCCAGGGGACTGCCAGACAGATCAAGTGATGATGATGATGCTCTGACATTGGGGCTCTGAAAAGCTCCACTCTGTTCTGACTCCATCAGCGGCAGCTGGGCTGCTGGGCTGCCGGTTTTCCCAGTGATTTGCTAGTGATTATGGGTCGTTAGTTTTCAAGGTTATTGTGGGCTGGAGAGCAGGGGGCGGGACTAGGGCAAGTTAAAATGTCACAAAGCTCTAGGTTCTTATCAAGATTCATTGTTTTCCTTGCAAAAGCACCCTATCCCTGATCGCTACAAACTTTTGGTTAATTTCTAACATTCTAAAGCAGTAGATTCTGACAATTTTTGCCAGTGATCCCATTGCTTTTATGGTCAAGAGGGTTTTTGGAGATTCTTATTCTGACAGTTTTTGATAATGTCACTCTTATGTAGACAAACTTAGGCCTTTTCTTCTTTGTGATACTTCTTATGGCTTTTATGCTACTGTTATTTTCTCCAGCTAAATGCCACCGTGGATATACCTGTAGTTGAACAAAGTTGGGTTTATTGACTCTTTGCAACACAGAAGCCATACATTATGGGAGAACTGTGAGGCACCTCATCAGGAGTATTACAAAGGACTTACAGGATCTGCACCTGGGTCAAGTAGTTTTGAGAAGGTTTTAAGGAAATAAGGCTTTTCTTTGAACTGGACACTTTCTGGAGGTGAAGGCAAGTCTGTGATTGCATATTCTAATAAATCTGATTTAGAAAGTGCTAGGAATGAAGTGAGATTAAAGCTGTAATTGACAAAGAAGTAGCAGTCACCCTCATTAGCTAGGGCCGGGGGTAGAGTAGTCTGAATAATGGCTGCCACAGTCATCAGATCATAATCCCTGGAGGCTGCGAATATTTCCTTAGATGGAAAACTTGTCTTTTCAGCTGGGACTAAGTTAAGGATCTTGAGATGGGGAGATTATCCTGCGTTATTCAGGTGAGCCCTAAATATATTCCCAAAAGTTTATGTAAAAGGGAGGCATGGGGCGCCTGGGTGGCTCAGTTGGTTGAGCGTCTGACTTCAGCTCAGGTCATGATCTTGTGGTTTGTGAGTTTGGGCCCTGCACCAACAGTGCAGAACTGCTTGGGATTCTCCCCCCCACCACTTGTGCGTACGTGTGCTCTCTCTCAAAAATGAATAAATAAACTTAAAAAGAAAAAGGGAGAGGCAGAAGTTCACACATACCTGCTCTCTGTGTCTGTCTCTCTCTCTCTCTCTCAGGAGAAGACGGTGTAAAGATAGAGCTGAGAGATTTGAGGATGCTGACATTGAAGCCTGGAGGGATGTGTCCACAAGCCAAGGAATGCCTACAGCCACCAGAACCTGAAAGAGGCAAGGGATGGATTCTTTCCTAGAGCCTCTGGAGGAGGCACTGCACTGACTATACCTTGATTTCAGCCCAGTGAGACTGATTTCATACTTTTGTCCTCCAGAACTGTAAGATGATACATTTCTGTTGTTTTAAGGCACTAAACGTGTAGTAATTTGTTACAGCAGCCCCAAGAAACATACAGGGGATGTCTGATCATTTTTATGGTTTGGACAGTGTCCTTGTTTTTGTCCAAGTTCATGGGTTATGGGTTGAATTGTCTACTCCTCAAGTTCATATGTTAAAGTTCTAACCCCCAGTACTGTAGAATATGACCTTATTTAGAAATGGCCAGTAGCGTGGGCCCCTAAACCAATATGACTGGTGTCCTTACAAAAAAGGGAAATGTAGACAGAGATGCACTACAGGGGGAGCACCAGGTGGAAATCGGAGTTCTGTTGCCATAAGCCCAGGAACCACCAGAAGTTAGGAGAGAGGCCTGGAACGTCTCCTTCCCTTGCACCTTCAGAGAAAGTGTGGTCTTGCAGACACCTTGATCACAGGCTTCCAGTCTCCAGAACTGCCAGACTTTATGTGTTATCTAATCCACGTAGTTTGTGATACTTTGTTACGGCTTCCTGGCCAATGAGTACAGTTCAGAGATGATTACAGAGTGGTCTTGCTTTTGTCTTGCCTGTGACCTTGTCTGATGTTGACATTGTATGAAATTGTTTATGTTCGACAGGAAAACTCCAGCGCCTAGCTGTGAGGGCTGGGCCAGCTCTCCCAAATGTCAGGGACTGCTTTTCTCTTTCTTATCACAGAATCTTTACTCATCTGATAAATGTTCACTTTATGTTGTCTTTAAGCATTGTAACTAATTCTTTCTAAAAAATATTTAAACCTTCGATCCATTTGGCATTTATTCTGGAGGGGAGATGGGGCAGAGGTATATGGCCTCAAGTAGAGGCCGTGATCAAAGGGGCTTGAGGTCCAGACTTGCTGAGGTCTTTATGAACCTGAGTTCAAAGCTGTCTTAGACCGATCCCCTCAAACTGCTTCGATTACTAGGAGTAATCTCAGAACAGTCCTTTAGAGCATTTAGGGAGTAGTTTCTTTCTCTCTTCCTTGTCATTCTTGATCGAAGGAAAGGCGTCAGCCCCCTTTAGTTACAACAGGTCATGGCTGTGAGTGCTTCTCACTACAGCCATTAATTCGGAGGATAGGCTCATCAGCAGAAAACCCTCCCAGAGCCCCACGTGCCCTGGGCATCTCCTCTGTCTATTTGGATAAGTGCAGTGCGGGATCAATTATGGATGAGGCTCGATGGGAGATGAGTAAGTGGGCTGTTGTCTACTTTGAAAAATTAATGGGATCTGATTAACACAAGAGCACACTCCCTCTTCCTCAAGCCAGAGAGGCTCAGATCTCCACAGAAGCTCAGGGGCGGGGTAGCGGGGAGCAGTAGCCCCTGTGTCTGTGTGGGGTTAGATTTGATTCATGGAATCATACTTTAGACTTATCTACCCCCTTGACAGATGAGAATACTGAGGACCTTCAAGGTTAAACAATTTGCCCAAACAGCAAAGAAGGAAAGAAAAATAGCCAATTACTGGGTTTTAAAAAAAGTTTGCTTATTTATTTTGAGAGAGTGAGAAAGTGAGAGTGTGCACGTGAGTGTGAGCAGGGGAGGAGGGGCAGAGAGAGGGGGAGAAACCCAAGCAGGCTCCACACTGTCAGCACAGAGCCCGATGCTGGGCTTGATTTCACAAACTGTGGGATCATGACCTGAGCCGAAATCAAGAGTCGGGCGCTTAAAATAAATTTTTTTAATACAGGAAATTTAAAACCTATGCAAAGTAGAGAGAATAATATCATGTAGACATTCTCAAACTTTTTGGTCTCATTTTACACTTACACTCTTAAAATTTTTTGAGAACCTCCAAGAGCTTTTGGACCTGTGGGTTGCATCTATTGCTGTTTGCTATATTAGACATTAGAACTCAGACATTTAAAATATTAATTCACTTAAAAATAATACTCCCATTACATGTCAACACAAATACTTTTGTCCTTGATAATTTATTTCTACTATAGGATTTATTTTTATTTATTTATTTAAATGTTTATTTTTGAGACAGAGAGAGAGGAGAGTGTGCGCAAGCAGGGGAGGGACAGAGAGAGAGTGAGACAAAGGATCTGATGTGGGGCTTGAACTTATGAACCATGAGATCATGACCTGAGCTGAAGTTGGACGCTTAACCGACTGAGCCACCCGGGCCCCTCTCTGCTATAAGCTTTTAAATGCTAGTTATGCATCATCCGTTAGATTTTACTTTATTTTATTTTATTGTTATTATGGTAAAATAGATCCAAAGTTTACACTTTTAACCATTTTTAAATGTACCATTCAACGGCACTAAGTATATTCACATTGTTGTGCAACTCCCGCCACTACCCGTCTCCAGAACGTTTTCATCTTCCCATACTAAAACTCTGTACCCATTAAACCCTAACTCCCCATACCCGCTGTCCCCAGCCCCTGGGAACTACTGTCCTTCTGTCTCTATGGATTTGACTGCTCTAGGTATTCCGTATGAGTGGAGTCACACATACTTGTCTTTTTTTGTCCAGCTTGCATCATTTAGCATAATGTCTTCAAGGTTCACCCTGTGGTCACCTGTGTCAGGGTTTTCTTCCTTTTCAAGTCTGAATAATATGTCATTGTGTGTATAGACCACATATTGTTTATCCATTCATCCATCGACAGACATTGGGTTGTTTTCACCACTTGGCTATTGGGAGCAGTGCTGCTAAACACATGGGCGCACAAATACCTCTTTGAGACCCTGCTTTCAATTTGGCTGTGCATATACCCAGAAGTGGCATTGCCGGATCAAATGGTAATTCCATGCTTAATTTTTTAAGGATTGACACACTGTTTGCCACAGCCGCTCTACCATTTTACATTCCCCCCAGCAAAGCCCAAGGTGTCAATTTCTCCACATCCGTGCCAACACCTGTGGTTTTCTGTTACAATTTTTTTTTTAAGTAATAGCCATTCTAATGGTTGTTAAATAACTTTTTATAAAAAAAAAAACTAAACTATGTTTTTCCAAACCAAAAAATTAGTAAGATGAGAGGCATTGTTTTACATTCTGCAAATCCTTTGAATGTCTGGCTTACTAGGCAGCTGGCTTCTCAGATCTGCTTCTGCATTTATTTCATGGTTGTCCAATCACATGCCATGTAGCCTCTGGAAAATTCCACAGTACCTTCATGAGAGGAAGAGAGGGAGAAAGGCAAATGACATTGTAGTGTTATTAGGCAAATAGTTCTGACTTGGCAGACCTGTTTTCATTATTACCTCAGGGTCTATCCTGTTGCGTCTCTTCTCCCTTTTGTGCCTCCCCTTCGTCATTTTCTTTTTAAAGCTTTTTATTTTTAAGTAATCCCTGCACCCAGCATGAGGCTCAAACCCACAAGCCGGAACCCACAACCCCAACCCACAACCCTGAGATCAAGAGTCACATTCTCTACCAACTGAGCCAGCCAGGCGCCTCTCCCGCTTTACCACTTCGAAGCAAATTGGCAGCCGTCAATTCTTACCAGCATTGTGTTGGGTACTTTCCTGCCCCGGCTTCTTAATCCTTGTAGCAGATCTGCTTTATTAGCATGTGTGAGTGTATGGTTGTTCAGTTGTGGGAACCAGGCCCCAGGGATGCTAGGAAATGTTCCCAAGTTCATGCCTCTGGAAGCTGATGGCACACGGGCTGGTCAGATCTTTATTACACATTCTCTTATCTTTGACTTCAGACCATGGGAGTCGTTGGGGCTGCCACTGGCTTGCTTCTTTTTCCCATTGGGACTTTGGGGAAGGCATTCCCTGCCTCCCTCTCTCGGAGGTATATGGATGCTCTTTTCATAGATTTTATCAGCACCACGCTCTAACCAACTGAGCTTACCAGCCACTTGTCTTTTCATAGATTTTAAAGAAGCCTTCTGGGCCAGGCCTCCTCCGGGCTGCTGGGCACAGAGCTGGGTTGGATACTGCTGTGTGAAGTAATTCTGGACATTTCTTCGGGCATAAGCTGAGCAAGCTTTTGCCCTCCCCATTTGGAGGCCCGGGACTGGGAGTGGTGGAAAAACAGCAGAAGAGCCCAGGCTGGTGGGGTTTGGTATGGTCTGCTCCAGTTTGAGCCAGGACACCTCCACTCACTGTAGAATCACAGAGCTGAGAGAAGATGGGGCTCCAAAGTCATGTAGTCCCGACCACCTCCCAGGGCAGGAATCATCTCTGAAATGCCCTACCCAAAGGGTGCTAGACCTCTCTGTTTCACCCTCAATGACAGGGAACTCACTCCCTACCTCAGCAGACAGCCAGTCTGTGGATGGTACTCTCATTGTGAGAAAGCTCAGCTCACGTTGGGCGACCTTCCAGGAACAATCCAGATCTGTGTCGTGATGGGAAGAACTCAGACTGGGAGTAGAGATTGCTGGGTATACGATTAGGGTAGCCGTGGGAAAGCCTGTTCCCCCTGAGAGTTTGATTTCTTTGTTGTCAAGAGAACTCATCTCTGATTCTTTTTACCACTCACATTTGTTTATTTTCCGATTTGGCTTCTTTTTCTCCAGAAGTGGTCTTCAGGAACTTGGAGAGAAACTGTGGTCCCCTTCAAGTGTGGGCATCACCTTTCCTCTTGGGGCACGTTCTTAGCTGCCCATCCAGGCACTAACTATCTCAAGAAACACCCCTGTCTTCCCCTGGCTCTTTCTGTGGAATTGGATCCCAGCACAGGCCTCTAGGGTTTCCAGGAGCAGTCCTGGATTCCACAGACCTGCTGCAGCCCCGAACACCCATAGCTCCTTCATCCACCCTCTGTGACAACTCCCTCCCCCAGCACCAATGTAAGCTGTCCTCTGACTTTATAAAGACTTAGTAACTGCGCCATCCATGAGACTTTCCACACCTTTGCCATATATCCCAACTGATTTTCAAATAGTGGGACCTTCTGACAGGAAGAAGAAAGAAAAATAAAGCAGAAGAACTCCACAGTCAGGTAATTGAGAGAAAGCTGGGACTCAGACTGCGTTTTGGGTTTGGAAAGGGTGTGGATGTGGCTCATCTGGTCCTGGCCTGAGAGTCCTTCCAGGCTGGCAGGCTGGACCTCCCATCTCCATGGCAACTGTTGTTATTGGTAACCGAATAACCATCTCCAACAACAGCGGCTGGAGTGGCTGCTGATGGTTTTCCCTTCTAGTTGAAAGTAAGAGGAGCCAGGCTCTTTGCTGACTGATTCCAAATGCTGAGCTCTTTGCCCCCATTTGGGGATCTTCAGTTGATACTGAGCAAACAGAGGCTACCCTTCTATTCCCCTCCAACTTCTGTGACTTAAGCAGTGGGACAAATTAACTTAGCATGTACTTTCTAGATTCTTTCTGAGAGGCTGAGAAATCTACTCAAGGACATTTAGCTAGCAAGATCCAGAAGCTGAAGCTTGACCATCTAATTCTGAAAGCATGCTTGTGACCACATGGCTGTGGTGTCTCCATCCTTTTCCTCTGAGACCACGTGGAAACCTTCTCAGCCGTCCTTGTGAAACCATTGTTCTAATATTGTGAGGACAAGTGGCATTTCATAGTGATTCACGGGCCCCTGTGAAGCCATCCCACTTGATTGTCCTGTAGTGGAGTCAGCGGGACCTCAAGATACTATAGACCTGAAATTATTAGGGAAGTAGAGTATTTTTTTTTCAAAATTACTTTTTTATTAATTAACAGGATTTATCCGAGTTCATTTGGAAAGGGTTTGCATTCTTTCCATTCTCCCCAAGTCCCTAATTTTGTTTGTTGGTTTGATTTTCTAATTTAATTTAATTTAATTTAATTTATTTTTTTATTTTTAAAT